AAAACCAAAAAGGGGCTGAGTGGTTTCCTGGGTTTGCCCTGAGCTGGCTGTGGCCCCTGGGGTGGCAGTGCCAGGCTGCCACAGTGGGCTGGTGATGCCCAATTCCAAATAACATCCAGCTCAGAAAGAGGAAAAAAGCCCCCAAAAAGCAGCCAGGATGATTGGATTGATCAATTTTTTTGTCACTTAACTCCAAGATTTGAAAATCTTTCATGGGAATGGGAGGGAAATCAGCTGCTCTGGGGGGTAGGAAATGGAATCTGGGGGCCCAGCTCCCTGTGCCTCAGTGGGAGCGTTGCTGTCCTCACAGGAGCTGTGCAGACGTTTCTTTTTATCCCAAACAGAGCAATTTCCTGCCTCCCTCCTGTTCCTGTCTGCCTGTGCTTCCCCAGGAGCCCTGCACAGCAGGAATGTGGCATCTGTCAACACGTGCTGCAGGAGAAGCACAGGAGCTGAGAGCGGGGCTGAGTGTGTCTGAAATAATTTCATTATTTATGGGCTGCTGGGGAGCTGCAGGAACAGGCAGGATGTGGGGAACACCAGGATTTTGGGCTCAGAGGGCAGAAGTGCAGTGACAGGTGTGGCAGTCTGGTGGCACAAGGTGGATGTGGAATTTCTGAAAGGAGCAGATTTCAGCAGGGTTCAGTGTGGGGCAGCTTCAGCTCTGTGGGGCTTTGGAACTCTGTTACACCTGTTGGTTAATTTGCTTTTTTGGCCAAAACTCTTCTCCTGCTGCATCCTGAGGTGTTGGCACCTCTTGGAATCACAGATTGGAGGCCCTGGAGTGTCACTTGAATTTCCAATCAGTTACTTGCCAGTGGATTTAATCCAAGTTTTTGGGTTCATTTGTTTAAACATTAAATACTGGGCTAAATCTGAATGAATTCTCCCTCCTGGGTTGGATGTGGAGTGTCCTGAAGGTTTTTATGCCATGTGAAATCTCCATCACACCTGATTTATCCAAGGCAGATGCCACCACCAAAAAAATAACTTGTCCTGAATGGGCTCCTCTCTTGTAAGGTTGAGTTTATTGATCACATTGTTTAAACCTTAAATATTGGGCTGAATTTGAATAACTTTCCCTTCCTGGATTGGACCTGGGAGTCTCCTGAAGGTTTTTAGACCCTGAATCTCCATCACACCTGACTGATGCCCCCAGAAAAAAACAAAACAAAAACCTTGTCCTGAGTCAGCTCCTGTCTCATAATGCTGAAAAATGAGACCTTTGGTAACTGGGGCAAGAAAAGTGCTTTGATTATCATCATTCCCTGCCCAAACATTGCTGCTGCTGGGCAGGGAGGGGAAGGATGGCCTGGCAGGAGTTGAGGATGCTGATTCCATCCACCTCTGGCTCCAGGTGGGATTGTCCAGAGCGGCTCCCTGAGCCCAGGGATGGATTTCAGGAGCAGGGATGGCTTTGAGCTGAGCCTACAGAACAGTGCCCTCTCGTGTGCTGACAGGGCTGCGAGCTGCAATCCCTCCCAAACTCCTCCTGGATTCTGGAGTGTGCCCTAGGAATTCAGCCTGATCTGTGTGCACAGGTTGTTATTTGTATTTTTTCCTCTCTTTTCTCTTGCTAAAGATTTTTGTGACTGCGGTTTTAAATTATGTAAATGAATTAGCTTTTTTAAAATACTTTATAGTTCAATACACTGATATTTTTTTTAATTCTTATTCTAATAGGGAAAAAGCCTAACAGCTCTATTTTAATTTATTTTGATGTTGAAGCTGGCAGAGATTGCTCTGTCTGGCAGCAGCTGAGCTCAGGTTTAAGGTGTAGATCCCAATTTCAGAATGATCCCAAAAGAGAAAACCCACCATGAATATTTGCATTTCTGGGGGGTTTTGGTTTGGCTTTTCCCATCGTTGTTTGTCTCTGCAGGGGGATTGTTTGAAGTGCTCAGTGAGGTTCAAATCCTTGTTTTGCCAGAGATTTTGCAGATTCCAAACCTGTGTCCTCTCTCCTGTGCTGCTCTTTGGGCACAGCCTCCCAGTCCAGCCCAGTTGCTCCATCACTGGCTGGGATAATAAATCCCATTCCTGATCTCATGGGATCACTGAGGCTGGAAAGGAGCTCCAGGATCAGCCTTTCCAGCCTGTGGCAGTGCTGCTCCTCATGGTTTATTCTCATTTATTCTCATGTTTTACTCTTGGCTACTCCTTGCATGATCTAAGTTTGGGATTTATCCGGGTGAAGTTATCCAGCCTGGAGCTTTGTCTGCTCCATGGACAGATGTTATTTTATGTCTGGGTAAATATGGAGAAATCAGCTTCATTCCAGGCCCATATGTGAAATAAAAATGCTTCAGTGCTTTTAGGCTGCTCCCATAATGAATGGACCTACAAATTAATATTCTTTGGGATTGTAGCACAACCTGTGCTGGGAATTAACTTGATTTGGGGGTGTGTTTTCTGAGCAGATTTAAAAAATAATTCCTCTGGTAAAACTTAGACTTTTGGAGAGCTTTGTAATGCTGCTTTACCCATGCTGCCTCCTGCTTCAGGAGAGTGATTTTTGCCTGTTTCTCCCTGTGATTTGGGGGTGTTTTCCAGCAGGATGGATGGAGCTGTCCTGAGGTGGAGAATGCATGTTCAATAACCAGCCAGTGCAGACCCTGCTCAGGCTGGGTGTGTGTGCCTGCGTTTTAGGAAGGGGATGTTTTCGGATGGAGGATTTCTATTTTGCACTCAGGTTCCCTTTGTGCTCACTCCAAGGGCTGAGATCCCGTGTTTGGATCAGCCAAGGGAAGTCAGGAACTGGAATTGCCTCAACCAGAGATGCTGTCCATGTGGATGAGCTTGGAGCACTGTCTGACATCTTTAGGATCTTGCTGGGAAGGGTTGGCCTGGATGACCTTTAATGTCCCTTCCAACCCAAATGATCCCAAATTTCTGTGGTTGTCCTTGGTGGCGTTTCCCTGTGGTTGATCCTGTTTTGCTTCCAGCACAATTCCTGATCAGTTCCTGGCTGTGAGGATGGAGATTCCAGAATGACCCTCATGGAGCCTCCTCTGCTCACAGCCCCAGCGTGCTGGGGGAAACAACCAAGCATTTCTTGATTTTTGGCCAAGATTAGTGGAACAATGGAAATTCCCATTCCAAGGGCTGCGTCCCTTTGACCCAAACCAACCTGTGGAAGCTCTGGCCTTGCAGAGGAGCTGGATCCAAACCAGCTCTGAGGAATCTGCATGGCTGTGAGTGGGGCTGGAACCCCAGCTGGTTTGGAGAATCTGGGTCAAAAATAAACCAGGAAAAATCCCTGGGAATGCTGGTGCTGTGCCCCAAGATGATGCCAAGAGAACAAGAGACTGCTCAGGCAAACTGTGGGATTTCAGCTGGGAGGGAATTGTCCTTCTGGTCCTGCTCAAGTCAGGGAAAATGATTTAGTGCGCACATTTCTCAGTTTGAGTCAAGCAGTTTCCCATTTTTCTCTTGGAAAGCAGGCAGGAGGATCCTGGGCATTGGCAAACCTGGATGGGAAGGGCTGGTGCTGCACCCCTGCTTCTCTTGTTAACTAATTCCAAATTTGCTCTGAGCTTGGTGCTGACTCCAGATGGAAAGGCAGCACTAATCCCACTGTCCTCATCAAGGGAGGTGCCAAAATTTGGGATATTCTGTTCAGGGAAGCCCAGCTGATGCCACAGGGTGCTGGGCTGGGCTGTGGTGGTCCATGCTGAGCTGCTGAGGCCCGAACTCTGAATTTCTTGTGACACCAGAATTATCTCCCTGACATTGTGCCTGCATGCAAAGGCTGCACCAGCAATTCCATGTTCTTTTAATCCCCCTGTGCAGATAAAAATCAGATGGGAACAAATGTGCAGCACATGAGGACTAAAGACTTTTATTACAGTATCTTTTTAATTATCAAGGTGGGGAATCACGTTTTACAAAGTCCAGTAAATTGAATTTTATTATGGTTTGTGTGAGGACTTATTTAATAGCAGGCTGCACGAGACACTGCCACAATTCCTCTTTCTTTCTGGAGGTTTATTTGTTGGTCTTGAACTCGGGGAGAACGAGCTGGGGCTGGAAGCAGAGGGTTGCAGATCTAACCAAGGGATGGTTCATGTTCATGGTTTAGATTAGCTGAGTTTAATTCCAGATTGTGTGCACTTGGAGCAGCTGGGAAACCCAGACCAGGCAGTTGGGCTTTATTAGGAAAGAGCTCCTGCTCTTTTCAATCGGTGCTTTGGGAAGTCTCAAATCCTGAATTATGGCTGTTTGCTTTGGAAGGAGCTGCAGTTCTGCTCTCTGCTCCTTGCTGTTGGAATTCAGGGCTTCTGTGGAGCCTCCTGCCCGGGGCAGGTGTGGAGAGGGGATGGATTTGGTTCCCTGAGCTGGGAACTGCTGGGTTATCCATGGAATCATGGAGGGGTTTGGGTTGGAAAGGATCTTAAACCTCATCCAGTTCCACCTTCTGCTGTCCCAGGTTGCTCCAAGCTTTGTCCTGGGACACTGCCAGGAATGGAGAAGCCACAGCTTCTCTGGGAATTCCATCCCAGCCTCTCCCCACCCTCCCAGGGAAGTTTTCCTTCCCAATATCCCGTCTAGCCCTACTCTGGTGAAATCCCAGTATTTTGTGGGTTTGTGCTTTGTTGGGAATTTTTTCATTAACACTGAGGTCTGTTTGCAGCGTTTTCAGCTCTGGGTGGTGAAAAGTTCCCCCTCTTGGATTTCAGATTTATTATTTGGATTTATTTGGTTGTCTTCCCTGTTTCTGACAGTTTACAGTCTCTGGGAGGGTCAGTCCATACAAAAGCCCCTTTCAGTTCTGGATGCTGCTGCAAACAAAAGTTATGAGCAGTATTTTGGATATCAAGTTCTGTGTGTTGAGGAAATGCCAGTTTGATTGAATTGCACATGAATCCCCTTTCCCAAATTTGTGTCTGGAAATGCAACAGACAAAACTGATTCCTGAGCTGAGTAAATGGGAACACAAGTTACAACTTGCACATTGAGGTTCCGACGTGATCAGGTTTATATTCCCATTTTAACTCCTAAGAAGAGTTTTGGAAATGAAAATCAATCCTATAAACCCATGGAAGACCTTTCTGGCCCCATGGCTACAGCAAACACAGACATTTAAGAGATGATTTTCATATGCATGGAGTCTTCTTAGAATTCTGGAAGGGAACAGTTTGTCTGGGATTCATAATAAATTATTCATCCTTTTATTACCATAATAATCGCTTTTTATGGTTACCCAAGTGAATGTTATTATGAAAGCACAGAAAAATCTATTAATTATTTTCCAGGTTTTTATAGTATTTCAGTTTTTTCCTCAATTTTTTCCCCCATTCTGGGAGCTTTTTTGATGTTATCAGAAAGCAAAGTTATTTTTTTCCAGAGATAAAAGTCTCTCCACACACTTGTTTTGTGTATCAGAGCTGGAAGAACATGAGATCACCTTATCCAGAGAAGATGCCAGTCTGGAGGCCTCTTCCCTGCTTTTGGTCCCTATGGATCCTGGGGTGTTTCCTTTTAACCTTGTGTAGGTCCCTAATTTACTTATAACAAAATCAAAAATGTGGGGTGGGGTCTTAAAAATAAGAAATGCTGCCTTGTGCCAGGAACAACTGGAAGCAGCCTGGAATGGAGGATTTTCCCTTTTTGATAAGAGGAAGGTTTAGTGCTGATTAATAGGAGCCTCCAGGGCCTAAATTTGCCCAGAGTTTCACAGGGATTTGTGATAAATTTATAAATTCTTGTTCACAACCTGGTTGTTGGAGGGCTGGACGTTTGTTGGTTGGATTTTCCCCAAATAAATGATTCTTGTGTAGATCAGCAGCTCCCAATGACATTTAATTTCCATGGTTTTGACCAGCCTGGTCTGTGGAAGCTCAGCCTCAGCAGGGGTTGGAATGAGGGGAGATTTAAGGTCCTTTCCAACCCAAACCATTCCAGAATCTTCTGGAAGTTTCCCAGAGAGCATGGACTGGGTTGTTGCTGTGGAGTTTGTAATAATTCTGGCTTTGGAGGGAAAAGCTTAGTGGAATGTTGTTGAACCAGGATATTTGGTGGTGTTAGAGGCTGAGGGAGTGTGAAAAGGACAGATAAATCTTGATTTGTGTGTCTCTTGATGGGCTGAGTCTCAGGTAATGCCAAGTTCAAGGTTGCCTGTGATGCTCTTTGGGTCTGTAAGTGATGTGGAGCACTGAACACTAGGGAATCTTGGAATAATGAAGGGATAAGCTTGGAATTCTTCAGTTAGATCAGCTCTGTTGGTCACTGTGTGGTGCTGATGACACTGAGGTCATGGTTCAATGCCTGGATAGGCCTCACATAAAAGCTGGACTTGATGATCCCTTCCCACTCAGAATATCCAGTGACCTGAAATAAAGTGGGAATGAAAAACACTTCCAGAGCACTTAAGAAAATCAGTTTTGCATGTTGAATCTCCTGAGGGAATCCCGCTGGATGCGTCCACGTGGTTCTTGTGTGACCCTGCACGTGAGGGAGTTTGGGGGTGGGAGATGATGATAAAAGCCCAGCACAGCTGGGAGGTTGATCCTGGCTCATCCCAAATCCCTGATTTCCTGCTTGTGACCCAAGGTGGGTCCGAGAGGACCAGGTTCAGCAGCAGAGCTCAGCACATTCCTAAGCCTAGGCACAGGCCTAACCCTGTGGAGCAGCATCCTGGCCTGCAGCCTGGATACCTCAGG